AGTAGTTTTAAGGTCTGGTTGCGTTCCCAGACTAGCTTTGATACGAAAGTATTTGCACGCCTTCAAAGCCTTTAAAGCCACTTGGCTGTCTGAGTATCAAGACGTGTTGTGTTTTGATGCTTTGGTTTGGACACTCTTATGCACAAATATTGATTGCAACCAAGGTGTTTGCTGCATGTGGTAGCTCTTTATTCTCCCATGATTGGCCGATGTTAATTACCACAGCGATTGGAATCTCTAGGTGAAACCATTATTGCGCAGGTGACCTCTGCTCAGATCTTGGGGCTTGAATTTATCTGTCTGGAATAACCTATTAGCGCAAGTGATTGCCTCGTTTTTCACACTGATGTGAAGTGTAGGTATGTTCATCGTCTCTAAGGCTGCGGTAAGACAGATTAGCCTTGGTACCTTCTCTAGTTTGATATGAGCGGACCTACTCAGTTTTTGGCCAACATACCGATAAGGTATATGTATGTGACCATAGGCTTTAATACTGTCTGGTAGACTCAGAGCTCCCAATAAGTTTGCGCCAAACCAGGTAGCCAATAAAGCTCAAGAGATAGTTCTACCTAGATAGCTGTTCCAGGTGAGTTTGTTATCCAATGTGAGCCCTAAGTATTTTACCTCACTGGAAAATGTTTACGTTCTCTAAAGGTTACGTGCACGAATTTTCAGTTTTCTCCTTCTCATAAACGGAACTAAAATGGTTTTGCTAAGGTTTCGCGTAGCATAGGACCATTTTAATCCAGCTCTGTTCAACTTGGTTAAGATGTTATGTACCACTTACAGTATGGGCGAGAGAAGGCCGTTCTGACTGTGGAAACGGTTGATGTTGCTCCCTTTATTCCAAAGCTCTATCCCACCTACATTGGGCCATTTGGAGACATATACAACGAATACTTCCAATATTTCAACTATTAATGGGCATGAAATAGGAATGAATTGTATGTACTAGGGATGGACTCTCCGATAAATTGATCAATATACAAGTCTGCTTAAAAACGATGCAGGATGGTTTAAAAATTAAATAGCAATTGTTGACTTACCCTGGTTTTGATTGATTTTACAGAAAAAAGCGCATCTATGTATATAGGTAATATTTATTTTTCATAAAACAATAAGATTTGGAACTTCCCCCTACAAGCCTCTGCACAATTTTTCGCAGTGTTAACATATGTCACACGATTACCTACCTACTGATATAGTTATAATTTAAAAATAGTCTCTTGCTTCCATCATCAAAAGTGCCACGGGGTACAATAGGCCCCCTAACGGCCCTAACTATACTTGAAGAACAATGTTTCGTTCCATCTTGCCAGGCTTTTTTTATTTTGACTGTCGCTTATAAACATCCATGTCTCATCTAGGGACACAACATCCCTCGGTTTAGTTGAGTTTTTATTTCTTGAATACTCTCGAAGAGAGGTCCATCTATTGTTAACAAAGTTTTCTGTTTTTCGATTTTTTTATATTTAAAGCCCAAATGTGACAGTACCTACTTTGCTAAATTTGATCTAGCAGCTTGGAAGAAGACAGATTAGCGAGCCTGAAATTTGATTGTACATACAATAAGTCTATTGAATGAAACAAAAGGCATTTTTTTAGCGAGATCCCAGTGATAACCGTTATTAACCGGTGTGGTTATACACGGTAACACTCCCACTTCAAAAATATATTCCTACCATTGGCAGATTTCTAGGATTAAACCGTTTCTCGCTAAAACGCAACGGTTATCAAAATTTTACAGTAAAGTGAGGTTAGTTTATATTTTGTGGTAAACATAAAAAAAAATGAAGTCAATAATTAAGTCCTTATCACTGATTGACGATATTATGTTTGAAAACACCCTGTATATTCTAATTTCGATGTATTATCAAGTCAAGTATAGTGGTCCCTTAAAATGTATATTGCGAGAAAATCATGAAAGACAGCTTCTAGAACATAATATGTGGATTCTTCATTATAATGATACCTATTACTTTTTTCCAATTATTTCGTATAAAAGCCAGCGCCTTTGAAGATCTTCTTACAAAAACCATGAAAAAAGATACAAATTATGTTATTTTAAAAAAAAGTACAGAGGTGGAAGACAACCTGTTGAGCCTGACAAAGGTTTGCTGATTTTTATAAGGCCTTCCAGGAAACTTTACATTCTCTAGGGGACAGATTTAACTTGGTACCTGCAACAGTGATGCATATAATTAATGGTTTCCTGTATCTCGTTGTTTCGCTGAAGAATCAGTATATTAGATGGCCCACTACAGTGGATGAGTATAACCATATTATTGATGGATTTGAAAGTTATCCAAGTGAGATTGGATTGCAGTTATCAGAAATTTAGACGTTTTATCAAAATCCCCCTCATTCTTAAAAAAAAACTTGTTGTAAATAAGATAAATTTTTCAGGTACCTACTATCGGTGCAGTGGATGAAAGTCATATTAATTTAAAAGTGTCCATGGAGCAACATAATAGCTATGTCAATAGGTACCAAAACCACTCTATAAACCTGATGGGCATATGCACCTATGAAAAACTTTTCACATATGTTTTCATTGGATATCCAGGGTCAGCACACAGGTAAGTGCAACTTAATTAAAATTAATTTGCCAATAAGTAGTTAACATCAACGCATTTTTTTTCCTTTGCAGGTGTATCCAAATTCCCAACTAGTTAAGAATATTGCAAGTGCTGGGAGTCTGAGGTATTTTCCAATGGAAGAATATCATATAAACTGCTGGATAAATGAAGCGGAACAAGCGAATTTTTAGATAAACTTTGGATTCCAATATTATGCGAACTAATGTAGTTATCAATGAGTGATTTGCGTAATTTGGAAGTTAATTTTCGCAAACCGCTCAGTGATATTTTTTTGAGTTCGCGTAATATTGAAATTTGAAGTTAACCTAAAAATTCGCTTGTTCCGCTTCATTTGTCCAGCAGTTTAGTTGGAGATGCTGGCTCATGCCTGGATTAAAGGGGCTGAAGCGCCGGGCCCCGCAGGGGCCCTACTTTTGAAAAACGCACGTTCAGGCGTTGAGGCTTATGCTGGTCAAGGGCCCGTGGGCATACAATAAATATTAAATGCACTAAAGTTCATTTCGCCAAACGATAGTGAAAGTAAACAAACTTTGACAGCTAAGTCGAATTTTATTGGCTAGAAAAGGATTATACTCCGCCCTAGGCAGGACCGTTTTATGTTGTTTTGTATTTGCATTCTCTGAATATCTTTATTTTTGGTCTTCAGCGGAATCTGTTGAACTTTGACATTGTTTTAATCTAAATTGCTCAGTAATTAACAATAATTCACCAAACACTAATTCAAATAATTTTAAAATACTAGGAAATACGCCACCAAAACCTATTGACTCATATGACAACCTGACAATAATAAATGTCATTGGTTGTAATTCATATTTTTGCAGTCCTTCTCCGAATTTTTTAGCTCCGCCTGTTTGTTTATCTCTACTATATCGTTTAGTGGAATGAACTTTAGTCTTTCGCGTCATGTTTCGCTGAACAATTCAACCGTTTTTTAACAGAAAACTTTTCAAACACAGTGGCATGACCGGTTGTGGCGACACCTAGCGGTTGTCCTACTTCATTTTGCAAGCATGCAGCAGATAATTGTTACAGGTGAACCGCTAGCTGGAAAATCACCTGGAACAGTCTTTTTTTTTAACAGAATTTTTGATGACGTGAAACTGTCACCAAAAATTCTTCAAAGCTGTTTTCTCGCGTTCACTTTTTTGAAACTGGTTTGAAATAGTATACCTATTTTGACGATGAACCCATGACGTCACACAATATTGGTTCAAACCGCGTCGAAATACAATCCAATCCACGTTTTTAACCCCCATTTTCTCGCGCCGAGAAGTTATGACGTCATTGTGAAACTGTTTTAAACCAGTTTTGAAAAATGTTCCAAAACTTTGAGACGCGAGAAAACACCTCTGGACTGCAAGTAAATACACAAGTTAATTGGGTGCCAAATTTTGACTTAACCTAACTTAAGTTACGAAAATAGTATATTTCCTAACTAGTGCGGAAAAGAGACTTTCCGCACGAGTTAGGAACACTATTTTTTCTACGAGATGGAAGTTAATATTTGTTCCTATATATTTACCAATTTAAGATATTTTTTTTTACTTTTCCGTACCTGACACCTGTACCTGTGGTATACCTGTATAGGTACCTAAAACTTGTAGGTATTCTATTTTTCCCCACTATAGTCTATTTTTTTGAAAGCTGGTATAATCAAACTGTCACCTCATCGTTTATTGCAGGTGGTTCATTCACTCTTCAAAGGATTTAGGGGATTAAAATTGGTTGAGTATGATTGATTATACCAGCTTTCAAAAAAATAGACTATAGTGCGGAGAAGTGGTACTTTCATGACCTAAAATACGTGCGCTCATAGAAAAAATGTATTTTGACTTAATTTACATAGGTATAGCAGTGTCTTCTGTTATATCAGGAATATAGTTTTTTTTATATTTTTGTGCACTTAATTTATGTAGGGCCCCGCAAAACTTCACTAGCCCCGGGCCCCATGAAAGCTTAATCCGGCCATGGCTGGCGTTTCTTTTGAGGACTTGGCTAATGACTCCGTACTCCCGAAACAGAAACTTGACCAACGTTCAAGAAAGATATCATAACAGAAGATTAAGTTCTGCGAGAGTGAGAATAGAGAACACATTTAGTGATGTGAAGCAAAGGTGGGCAAGACTAAGGTTCATCAATACATACAGTATTTTAAAATCCATAGAAATTGCGACAGCTGCTTGCATCATGCATAACTATTGTCTTCTGCTAAATGACTAATAGCCAGAAGAAAATATGATGAATTTCAAGTTATGGGGCAAATAAAGAGACAAGGAATTACTGAATTACTTTGGGAAAATAGACAGTACAATTGAAGAAAATAAAAATAATAATAATTGTTTTCTTTATTATATAAGATGTATATTGTTCCGTAAATAAAAAAAACTTTGAAAAGAAAAAAAACTCTCAACAGAATAAACTTTGTTACAAATTTTTTTGTTTTTACAGTTGGCTGTGGAGAAATTAGAAGTTACTGATGGTAGCCAATGAATAAAGCATTATTCGTTAACAGTTTCCACCGCCAACTCTTGACAAAAAAGATTGTACTAACAAACATGAACTTCAATTCAAGTATTGAAAAAAAAAAAAAACAGGAACTTCTAATTAGACTAGAATAATGATAATAATAAAAAAAACATACACTCTACTACTACAAAAACAAAATATGTATCACTTGTTTTTCAAACAAAAGGATTTTAGTGAAATATTAATCGGAATCGGAACTATCAGACCTTTCTATTTTTTTCTTGGAAACCTCATGTAACAAGCCGTTCAAATTGATTCAAGAATCTTTCAATCTGCTCATTTTGCGTCTCCATCATTTTTTTTAACTCTATAAATTCATTCTCTCCACTACTTTGTAGTTCCTTGTGTTGCTGTTTCATTACATCAACAAGAACAGCATTTGGCACCCTTAGGCTGCAGAATTCCATTGCTCTTAAACCTAAAAAATAAAGAAATCATTGAAACAATTTTGTACTGTGTAGCTCTCATTAGAGTTAAACCATAGGTACTCATCAAGGTACTTATACTAATTTGGGTAACAAAAACAATTGTTATTGAACCTACCTATTTTTTATCAGGGTAGAAGGGTCAAATTTTGGGTGTTCCTTCTTCAGATTTTCCAGTATTTTTTTCATGTACTTCTTTTTCTTCATTACTATTTTCATTTCATTCATTGAAACGTCTGACTCATCCAAGCTAACTTGTAGATTCTGTGGGTTGACTTTATCCTTTTGACCCAATATGCCATGCATTTGGCTAAAGAAAGATGGTTCGTTCTTTTTTTTTTCACCAGTTGTATTCATGTGTCTAATATGCTGTAAATATTGTTTCTGTAAATTTGCAAACTTAAGTCTGCACCTTTCGGCACCCTCTCGTCTATCGCCTACATTATACCCTGCATCATTTAACTTGAATGCAATCACACTTCATAAATGACTTTTCACAGTTTTTTTGTCATCAAACTTATCACTCAGGTCTTTTCGGAATTGCAAAAACAATTCAGTGGCCGCAATGTCTGTTCCTGACGGTTTCTTACTGACTTATACCATCTTGTTAGAAGCTTCTAGTGGTGTCTCGAGTGGTGTGCTTTCTTCTTCAATCAAATCATTCAAATCGTCAGCATTTGCTGCATTCGGCAACAAGAAGTTTTTCATGATAGCTGCCATTGCATCTGGATCTAAAAAAAAATTATGGTAAGATCATTGGCTGGCGTAATAGTAATAAGTTAGATAATATAAGAACTATATTAAGGGGCTATAATATGAGTTTTATACAATTAGGTAATACATATTATCTCATCATTGAGCAAAATATTTACTTGTTCAAGGGGCACAACAACTGTGTAGTCTTCCCCTTCAAAATTCAAAAGCAGCTCTGTTAAATTAAATTGATATCGTATCGTTTAATAACAAAAAAAACCTCGGAAAAAACTCACTTTTGCACATCAAAACTATTTAAAACAATCACAAATGAATCTAAGGTTAGAATTTTTCAGTTACTCAACTCTCGACTTGGGTTATAAAAATAATAACCGTGTTATAGAATAATGACGTCACTTTATGACAGCAAAACGCCTTCCCCTATTACCGTTTTCTCGCAAAAACGGATCGGTTATTGATTTCCTGTAACCGCTTGTAACCTTAGATCATATATATATGCTATTCACATATGGATACAGCAATCCCCTCTGAAATAACATATGTTCCTGTTTCCAACATGAAGACGTGCTTTTTTCCATTTATCTCTTTCATAGCCTCATGAATGATATAAATTTATCTCTCTTTTGTTTCACCGTCTGAGCATGCGCAGTTAGACGTAATAACATACGTCATTGCTAATTTACTCAATTTTCAACATTGCCAAATTGATTAATATTGTATAAGCTTTGATATTTCTTCACATTTCCCCTAATTATAAAATTGTTTGCTAGAAGCAAAATCACATCATAAAAATAGCATTTATTTTAGATTTCAAGCAATTCAAGATTCAAAAGTAAATAAATATTAATTATTTTATTGTAGTCTTCTTATTGAAAAAATGATTCGGCAACATTGGCAGCCCGCGCTTGATTGTCGATTGTTTTGATTTCTGCGTTCTGCCGGTTTTGCCATTTGCTTTCGATATTTCGAATAGAGCAATATACATTCTTAGTTAATTTTAAAAGCCATTGCAATAGAGCAACTCTGCCAGTAAAAACAAGCAAAAAAGCCAAACGTATCTAGAAACACTTGGTACATATATGTATATTTTATTCACTTATCAATCACTTGCATAGCATAATTGAAATATGAGAATAGAAATCACTCTGCAGCATTTTTTGAACTGTAAACAATACTATTTTTCCACCAGTTTAAGTTGTCAGTAAATCAATATAATATATTATAAAAATTCCATCAAACTCTCCTTCTCCTTACGCAGAGTAAATGTAAACAAATGAACTTAACCTTATATTTTCTCTGTCACTTTTCCAAATTTGCGGCCAATAAGAGGCCATGCAAGACAAAAGAAAGATAAAGCTCATAGGAGATCTGCGTGTTAAACAAAGAAAGACGATTTAAGTATGTCTTGGATATGTTGTCAACATAATTATTGTTGGCTTTCGCTGTATCCATATGTGAATAACATATATATATGATCTAAGCTTGTAACACGGGAACTAACGGGAGGTCGCTAAAAAATGCCTTTTGCTTTTCTTATTATTTGTTTTTCATTTTCATTTTCTAATCATCGTCTGATTCTTCCGAAGACCCCTCGGGTGCATAATCCAATTTCCATATGCAGCAAACACAGTACTAAAATAGTGACGTATTGGTAACGTCATAAGTCTGCAGGAAATGACGTGAAGGAACCAAAAGATTTGGAAAGAAAGCTGGAATGTTGGTTGCGGGTCATCGGATACGAACGGCGGATGTATGAGAAAATTGGAAACTTTTTGAGCCGGATATAAAAACTTTCGGATGACGGATAACGGATGCATGAAAAGTAATAAGCTTTAAGCTTAGAATGTCAAAGCCGGTAAAGGCCGTCACAAACGATTTTGCATAACGCATAAGCATAAAGCATATAAGCCTCAATCAATCACAGGTTGCATTGAAGGTCACCTGACTGTGAACTGAAAATCTCAATCTTTCTGTATTTGTGCTTGTTTTAAACTACAGAGGAGCTACTCTAACGGATCAATAAAAAATTACGAAAATGTTCGTTAACCTTAACTACATTCAAGACAACGGACGTTAAATAAAAAATGGATTTATCAGGGACATCATACTGGTTGCGTATGATTTCTCTTTATTTTTCTTTATCATTTTTCTTTATTTTCTAACGGAACTGCCTTTGAGCAGTGGCTCAGTGGCGTATTTACCATAAGGCCATGGGGGCCATGGCCCGGGGCGGTAGGGCTGCCAGGGGCGGTACAAGCCGGGTCCCCAGCACTTAGGAATGCTATCTTAACTGTGAACAATAATATGTACAGGGCTTTATACATTTTATTTATATCCTGAACGACATGTAACATTTGAATGTGGAAGTGTCATAATGATGATTGTAAAATTTTAGATAATAGCTAGGTAGGCAGGGGTTGCTTATAAAAAAAACAGTTGAAGTTGAAAATATATAAATATTAGTCAGAAGTTGTATTTTCTCTGGAGATACTTAGCCAATTTTCAGCTTTACAACATATTTGATTGTGTTTGGAACACAGAAGCTTACATAACTGTACAAAGCAACAAAATGAGTTTGAGGCAACTAAACATATTATTTAATAAGGAAAAGAAATTGAAGGAAGCATTTTCTCATACAGAAATAGTATTACGTATGATTCTATGCAATGCAGTAAATTTTGACTTCCAGTGTTTCTTTTTTGTTAAAATGTTTTTTCATTGTTTAATTTTTTTTTGTTACATTATAGGGCGGCAAACCTTATCGGCCCAGAGCGCCAAATTTTAAAATCGCTGTGTCTAGAATCCCGGTACCGGTAACACATTTTTTACCGGTAGTTTTGATGCCGTTACCCATATGACGCACTAGGTACCCGGGATTTAAGCAAATCCCGGTAAAAAATGTAGTCGTTGGCGGTTTCTGTTTTATCAAAGTCCAACTTAACCTAACTTTTTATGTTTTTAACTTGTTTTGTTGATGTGTGAACGTAAAGTGGAGTGTTTTGATGAGTTTATCAACGTGAAATTACTTTTTAAATGGTTTTTAATGTAGGAGGACAAACATTTAAAAATTATAAAGAAGTTGAAGAGACTTTGACATGTGAAATATGCCAGTTTGTGTAAAATCCCCAGATGTGGTATTGTTCTGATTGCAAACTTATAAAAAAATGAATAAAAAATGAGAAATATTTATTTTAATCTACATCCTAAACAGTATAGTTACATATATTGGCATGAAGTAAATTAATAAATACTAAATTCGATTATGAACTGCCATATAAAGTGTTTCATTTTAAATTTTTTTAAATTCTCAGGGGTTTTCCGAAATACCAACCTTAATTTACTATCATCTGATTGCAGATTACTTCTAATCTGGGATGAGTTGTTCGACATTTCCGAACGCAACTGCAAATCATTTATATTAGGTATTTCGAACCTAACTAACTTTTATGGTTTGAAATGTTCCAAAAAAGTGACGAAAACATTAATAAACTAACCTAAAATACCAATTAGCTGATAAATAACGATAAAAACAAAATCAAAACACCGGGATTCACTTAAATCCCGGTACAAGTGCGTCATATCGATGACGTCATCAAAACTACCGGTAAAAAATGTGTTACCGGTACCGGGATTCTAGACACAGCGTTTTAAAATACGCCACTGCCTTTGAGTGTGTATCATTTAGCCGACTGTAGGTAGGGGACAGTGGGGCAACTTCGACATGCGGGGCAAGTTTGTCACCGCGCTTTACTAGGAATCGGTTGGATTCGGAAATTCCGAAACTGGCTTGAGGGTGCATCGTACGTATCAGTTAGTTGCTCCTTAAGTCTGGAGAAGGTAGCTACTCAATTTGTCGCATAAAACGCAATTATCGAGTTTTTAAATTTCTGATCTAAGGATTGGCTATTACTTTAATAATACTTTCGTTCCGTTAGAGCGTTCTATTTCGCAAGTTAATTTTTACAGAGTGACTTTGACCCATCTTTTGTAGAAATATTTGATAATAGGCGGTAAAAAAGGCTTTTTTTGTTTTTAAATATTTTACTAGAATCCGCTTGGGTGGGGCAACTTCGCCAATCGTTATTTCGGCACTGTCGAACTATTATTTTTGTTTCTAGGATGCTTAGAGATTATAAAAAAATTGATCTGATGCATACCGAGAAGAGTAGTTAATTTTTGCTGTGATTTAGGTAAAAAAAAATTTAGGTATTTGTATCAGAATAATGCTGTCCAATTTGCCCCCTAGGGGAGGGCAAGTTCGTCATTTGACATCGATGCAAAAAAAAAATATTTTTCTCTTTGAATTTATACGATATTGGTTTTAAATGCCTATTACCTACTAAAGAAATGTTATCACTATATTTAGATAAAGTTGTGTTTATTTCTGTGAATACAAATCGTTTTTAAAATCTTGCAAACCTTAACATGTCGATGCTGCCCCACTCTCCCCTACTATTTCGTCGTCGAGGTAGTGGCGGAAACCCTTATGAGGTCCTATTGTTTTCAGGTAATTTGGGCAAATAAAACTAAGCCGATTTCCGTTAAATAATGTTTTATTTGTGAACGCTAAAACAACAACAACAACAGTTGTCACGGTCACACCAATCAATCAAAACTTACAACTTGCTCCGATAGAGGCGCATGACGCATAGTAAACCAATAGTTACAATGTTGCCAGTTTAGAGTTTAGAGTATTGTCAGTGAGTGAACTCAGTTCATCAATTCTACAGGTCCTACGTCAGGTTTTCAACATGGAATGGGCAAGAAACCATCCATATTTTATCAAAACATAGCCAATGTTGAAGCAATATAATTTCTCCAATGTCAGGATATGCAGCTCCAGACCTCTGTTGGTTTGTGGTCACTCTTCACTTTATTCTTTAGATTTCCTCTTAATAGAGGCTTTCATCTATAACATAAAATATGTAAGTGATCGTAATCGTATACCTACTATAACTATCTAAGCGTTTCATCACTACTACCTATGTATTGCTTCCGATATTTTTTTTACAAAATTGATGCTGTAAAATGTTTTCCTATTTATTTAATTCTGATATGGGCCAATGTCCATGAATAAGATAATTAATGTAAGTTCCCCAAAGCCCCTGAGTTTGCTACAAACAAGATTAAAAGGTAAAACAAGGATAACTGATAAATGATAAACAACGATAATGAAGGCAGACAACAAACATTGTTACCCAGTCTATTAAACTTTTCGCGTAATTTGGCAACGCCGCTTGGATCGCATCTTATGCTGAACGCCAATGTATGGTAATCAAGGATAATTATAATCGATCAATAATTCTTAATTTGATAGGAAACCAACTGCCGTCAGTGGTAAAAAAAGTGATCCTAAGAACAAAGAACATGATCGTACAATGGCGAACGCTCGATCAACAGGAAAACAGAGATTGATAGGTTGATTTCGCGGCTTTGTCGGCCTATTGCAAATGATGGTTCAACAAAATGTTTGAATATTCTACACGCGAGAATGAAAAGCCGCAGATCACTTCTGCGATCCTGATACCGGAATAGTCAAAATCGCCCAGCATTCGGATTGGCGCATTGACGAAATTGGTGGCATTCCTGCCTGAGAATGTTTTTCACACTTTTAGGATTTTTCAACTTTGCGATCATCGGTGTTGCAGTCATTAGGCCTTTTCGGAAACGCTGAATCGATTAACCCGATCACAAGCTGATGTTCTTTATCTTTTTTCAATCGTGTTGATTTCATTACAGAAATAATCAGATCAGGTTAATCGGCTCAACGTTTCCGAATTGAGTATTGTAAAATTGTTCTAAAGTTTCCTCTTGTAAAGTTTTTGAATAAATTTCTCTATTTTATATTGTATGTGTTTCTATTTTATTGGCTAAGTTAATTAACGAATTTGCCATTTCATTTAAGGAATCAGTAGGCAATATTTTGTTTTTGATATTCCTATGTGAGAAATTAAATTGATTGTCGATTGGTTCTCTTGTCCGCTTTCTAATCGCCTGACACTCTCGAACAAAAAATCACCCAAGTCGTGGGGTGATTTGGCTTGCAATCATGAATATATTTATTCATCAGTTATTGATACATAATAGCGGTTTTGATTGGAATATCAATGGTGCACTGAGTGACAAAAAGACAAATATTGTCTTCCACTAGATCTGGTGAAAAAATCCAAATCACCGTAAGCATAGCGTAAGTGTTTGGCTGACTGAATCGAATTAAATGGTAGCCTTTAGAATCTGCCTTTTACCGAATTTATGCAATCAGTAAATAATATAGAATGGATCAAATTCGAAAAAAATCAATCGGTGCACTACAATGAATAGCTACGTATAATCTTAGATTATAATATATTCCAATAAAAATGACCCATTATTTGATTTTTCGTTCGTGTTTTATTTGGAATGTTGTGGGGTTGCTTTGGTTGGGTTTTGGAGATACGCATGTTGAAAATATTGGGTATTCTGTGTGACGAATTGTGATTCTACTGCAAGAAGCTTTTGAAGCGCATACACCGGAATCTGGTTCCTAACGGTTTCTTTTTCGAAATTTTATTGGTTGACTTTAACTTTTCAGATAAAAAGTATCGACGATGCTCTGGGATATTGCTGGCTACCTGTTAAAATCATTACTATAGAATTCTGGTATGCAGTTCAAGTATTCGCGATTAAATTACCTATGTCCTTTTGCTTGTATCAATTTATTTTGATTTATAAGTTCTTGTGGCAGTATCTGTAGTGTTAAATTGATATTTCTCATAAAATGTAGTGCATAGGTAGATAAGTCAGTTTGTGGTAAGTTAAGAGACAAATAATTGCCGTTTCGACATTAAATAATTTGATAGGTAATTCAGCCATATACCTTATTAAATCTGTCCTTTGTTTAAATAGGTCAGTTAGCATTGTATTTTGGTCTGCCAACAGTGGAACAGTGCCAACATTTAATCATTTGTGTTGCCGGTAATCGTCAATAAATTTCGATTGAAAATTAATGAAGCGGTTTTTCGAGTTAAACTTAGTATTACTTGACAATACCCGATAATTGTTTTTTTTTTTTTTTTGTAAAACCCCGCTGGAAAACATTTATTTATTCGAAAATATTATTTCTTCAATTTTATTGTACCAAACAATTAACCACCTAATTTTAAATTATAGACACATAAATAAGGGCTTATACTTATAGTAACTACCTGCAAAATAATTATTGTTTTACGATTCTATATAGTCTGATAGTCTCAGTCTGTTATCTAATTAAGCATCAGTTTAAAACTAAGTCATCGCATCGTCCTATTATCAGCAAGTTATTTTTCTAAATTTTTTGGAAATGGAAAAATATGTAGAGTTTCTCCCTAGTTAAATGAACGAGAAAGTGTGCTTTATCCATTTCAATTTTACAGATTGCCGATTTATTCTGTGACAATGGAGGTGAATATCTAGCTACTGAAATGATGTTGTAAACCTAAGGCAAAGTCTTAAGTTATTATTGTTAGTACATTAATATTTGTAGTCAAATTTTAAAAATTTGAATTTGGCGCTGTGTCTCATTGTGTTGCTACTATACAATTGGCAACGTTGCTTGGCATCTGACATTAGTGACGTCAATGACGCTTCTGTCATATTTTTGGCGGTATCGGCCTCTTCTCCTTCGATTATGGCGGGATGAAGACCTGTTTATGTGCCTCCCTTATTTTTGGTAAATAAAAACCCTATTATTGAAGTTAAGTGTTGTTTGATTTTACCGTTGCAACAAAAAAGTAGTTCTCCCCAATATATTTCATCAATTTACTACAGCTCAGGTGTGGGGTTGCACGGTAAATCGACGTTATTTTTTGACCTTCAAGGTTATGTATACTTTTTATGATGGATAATTTTCCGACTTCTGATGACGCCGAGGCCCAGGGCTTTGTTCAAGAAGAGCCCGAAATGTTTAGAAGGAGTCCTACGAATTTCCACGATGCCGAGGATACAGAAAATACGGCATCCGGTGCGACAATCAACGAAATCGTACAGGCTACAGTAAGAGCTATGATTTCGTATGATAATTTACGATTACGTGACCAAAATAGACAACGGGTGCACGGATGCTCCAAAATCCGCCAGTGGAGCCCCCCAAGAAGTATAAAAATGAAGAGGTTGGAATGTTGTTGCCCCAATTTGCTGGTGCTGGCCAAGATGCCGAAATTTGGCTGCAGAGAGTTGAGGCTGTGCAACAAACCTATAATGTGGACCCCAAAATTATGACCCTGATTGCAGTTGGGAAATTGTGCGACCAAGCCTGATCGTGGTACCATTCGAAGACTGAGCTTGTTATGCTTGAATGGGACGATTTAAAAACCGAGTTGAGGAAAATGTTTGGTTCCAGACTCGACAGAGTTTCCAGAATGCGTCGCTTTGAA